GATATAGATATAGATATAGATATACCAGACACTAGGGTATAACATGGTACAACCCATTTGGCATCGGGGATTCTGAGCCGTTCATGTTCATCCCACATCCGCCTGGAGAAGCCTTCAGCTTCCATTGGGGGCAAAGGGAACCGATTGCGAAGCCTCCGGCCTAGTGCTATTTGAGGGATCTTGATACATCAGTCTGGGAAGTCCAGGAAGTCCAAAAAAGGGGGTCAAACGGCTCTCCCCAGTTCAAAACACATGGGGGGCCCATGTTTGTTTGTGTTTTCTTTTCGAAGCTTCGGCTGTGCTTTTTTTCCAGCGAAGGTGTTACAAGCAACCTGCCTCTCGAATGGACTCTCGCGGCGCTGCATACTTCAGTACGTCGGGTGGCCGGACGAGCCTGGCACCGAGGGGGGCGGGGGGGGGGGGTTCTCCTCCTCTTCGTTCTTTTAAGTTGGGATATACCTGGCCATGGAATGCTGTAAGAGTTCGGTGAAGTAGTGTTTGGAAACAAATGACCCAGGTTGGGGCTCGAACGTACTTGCGCACAAAAGTGAAGAACGGTTTCGCTGCTTCGGGGATTTCTGCTTGGGCAAGAGCTCGCGAAATCGAAGGATACTATACACCACAACATGCCTCCGACACACTTTTCGGCTCGAGCTGAGATTGCCTCAGAACCCATTGGGGTAGACCAGACATTGGCCCCAATATCCAAGGATGAAGATGCCTACTTGGCCGACCTCCGTGAACGAAACATCTCGCTGTAAACTGTTGGCCTCGATACTCTGTCCTCATCTTAGTGCCGGAAACTGACGTCTGACGTCCCGTCTAAGGTCTTCATGCCTGATGGGATCGGTCGTCTGGTTTGCCAATCGCACTGAGACCAGCCTGACCAGAGACACTCTTGGGCGATAGCTTGTTTGGCTGCACACGCACAACACGATCTTCCGAACATAACAGGCTCCCCGCCGCTCGCACACAAGACATGATGCGGCGTGAGCAATAAGTGAAGAAGGCATCCGGCACCTTCTTGATTGTCATGGCATTTTTTGCTCTGCTGCGTGTTTTGCTGATGTGGTGCACTCCCGATAGTCTTGAATTGCCCAGTAGCCGTTGCAAGCAGTGCGGGCAACTTTGTTTTCTTGCGGGATGGGGGAATAGCATTCCTCGTGGTTGAAGGCGTGGCTGTGAACGGCCACGGAGTGTTTTTTCGTGGCTAGACAAGGTGTGACAGCCTGCGAAGTCGTGGGAGCGAGCATAGGGCATAGGGCACTTCGCCATATCTTACGAATATTACGAGAGTCTGCAACATGAACCCCACAGCCAACACCCCACAACTTCGCGGAATGCCTCTCGGTTTGCAGGAAGCAACTATCCAAATCGGCGTCGGGATCGAGCTGCCCACCTTCCAACACGAGGAATGCCTACAGGCCTACAGTTTATCTGGATTTCTACATGGTGAATTGCTGCTCCCCCAACGTTGATTGACTCCTTACCACTGTTGGACTAGCATGCTGACCTCTGCCGACCATACCTCTTGACGATGACCGCTTGAAAGCTACTAGAGCATGTAGTACAAACTACACCACTACAAGTGGTGCAACATTCAATGAAGGCGAGACTTTGCATCCCCCGCTGTCTGGCACCACCCTTACAAGGGTTACGACTACGAAGCCAGTAGCCCCAAGACACCTGACCCGCGATTCCAGCCGCAAAGCGACAAAGGCTTTCAATCCTGCCGGCTCAATTTAAAAGGCCGCTATCGGCATGCTGTGACCCTGAACCCAAATGGTCGGATGCGAAAGTACTGCTCAATCAGACCCCGCATCGCATGTCCGCTCTTTCAGCCTTCAGCCATCCGACATGCCGTGAGCTTCATCGCAAGAAGTGGCCGTGGCCAGCGCTATGTAAGCTTCAGATGGCATCAAGGATAGATGGCAACATGATATGGCAATGCAAACAACGAATAGGAAACTGCAAATTGCCAAGTTCTCTGCGAGAGTTCACCGTGTCAAGGTGCCGCCAGGAACACAGTCAAGAGTCAAAAGTGACGCAAGCCACAACAAATGTCTTGCGAAGGCCAGGTTGTGAAGCCTGCAAACCCTGATCAAGATAGAAGCACACTCGAACTTCAACTCCCAGCCTGCCAGTGTCGGAAAAAGCGTCAGCAGCAGGCAGAGTGCCCGAAGCGGCCGGAGGTGCATCATTGGGCTCGGAGCTTCATGCAGCAAGTCTGTGCTCTGCCGGGCTGGCAACGCTCCGTGTAGGAGCAGTGAGCAGTTGTGTTTTCGAGTTTGGTCCAGACTCTCGCCTCGTTGGATCTCAGGAGATCTCATGCAAAGGCTCACTTTGAGTATATAGCACATAGGTCAGACCGCCACGATGGCGTCATCAACTTCACAACTCAACCCGTCCTAGTCTTGGTTGGACTCATGGAGAAACCCGGTTCGGTCGAAGGTTTGTCCGGGCTTGAGCCGGGCAACCTGTCCGCCCAGAGCAGTCAAAGAGGCAAGGCACGTTGGAAGATTGCTCTGACATTAGGAGAAAAGGCATGTAGAAAAGCAACTTGTGCTGTTGTTGAAACCCAGGCTCGGATCCGGAACCAGCTTGGGAGCTCCTACGCATATTCAATGAGTATGATATCAACAACTGAACTTTTAATGCTAGGGCCTAGGGAAAGCTTTGGGACGACAGCTCGGATCCCATGACAGTACAAGCTACTAGCAAGCAACCGAAGAAAAGCAGCGAGCATTGCACAAATCGAAAAAAGTGCTGCTTCTACGACCACAAGTGATACACAAGGGACAGTGTGAAGAAAAGCTGCAAACAAAGACTTCTGCTGCTGCTACGGCTGCGGCTGCAACTGCTGCTGCTGCTGCTGCTGCTACTACTGCTGCTGCTACTGCTGCTGCTGCTACCACTACTACCACCACCACTACGACTACGACGACTACACTACCATGACCACCACCACGAGCACTACCACTAGTACTAGCTGTATCGCTAAAATCCTAACTATTGCTACTATTGCCACCACCTCCTACTGCAGCCATGTTTATAAAGATGGCTGATGCTAACCCACCAATTACTGTGCAAGCACAACAGGGCTAGGAACAGCAGTTGCGAAACCGATTATGCCAGCGGCATGATGATGACAAGTACCATGTGTAGTATTCAGCCCAGACCCATCCAGGCCATTGTGGTAAAGGCCTGAACCTCGAAGAAGTGCACACTAGCAAGGGTTTCAAGGTGCGTGCCTGGAGGTTAAAGCCTGCAAGGGCCAACCCAGCCAGGATCCCAGACACGATGGCCTCAGAGCCAACGTGAGCGAAGTGGCTTCAACTGCATGGGTTGAATCAAGGCTTCGTTCCCGCTTCGGATGGCCTCTGTGGCACTCCCTCTCGTGGCTCTGGTGAGAAAGTTGGTTGCTGGAGCTTTGGAAGGCTCAACGAATTCACTTTCTGCAGTCCTCTCCTGCCACAGCGTGTTGTTAAGTGTTAAGATCTCTGCCAGAGTTTCGAAGGCCGGCGATTTGATGTCCTGGCTTTTGCTGCATCTGGGCAGCACCCCGTCGCTGAGTGGCGATACCCAAGCACACTGTAGCAAGACCCGGTATGCAAGGTGAACCCGGCTATGATAACTCGCTCAGATCGTCACACTGCTGAAGCATAAGCTTTCCAGCCGACAACTTGCTACAAAAACCAGCCCTGCAAACCACAGCAGACCATCTCCCGCCGTCTTTCCACCCACTTTTCTCGCGACGCAGTCTCGCAGCGCTGTCTTGCCTGGGCGCAAAAGGAGCGTTGTGAGCCGAGCTTCCCTGACTCTGATGCCTTGCCTTGTTATTTTCCGAGGCTAGAAGCAGCTCTGGGTGCATCTCGGGCGCATCATGAATAACCAGGTGGACGATGCCTTGACCTTAGATTCCAGGAGGCTCCAAAAGATGTTGGTTGTCTGTCGGCTGAAGCGTGAAAAAACTCGTCGTAAGAAAGTGAACAAGCATTCGGCAGATACAGCCTCCCTGCTGCCAGAGTGGCTGCAAAGGATTTCGTCTTTCCAATAGCTGCTGGTCGGTACCCAAGCGGCCGGTAGACTTTTTCGAAGGCCTTCGAAGGACCAGGCAGCAGGCTGCAACTCATCACAGATGTGCACGACCCGGTTGTGATGCAGTGATGCAGACCACTGCGCAGTGACCTCGCCGAAGTCACGCCGTGCCACTAGCTCCAGCGGCTCCGGGGCAGCCAGTGCTGCCACAGTTGCGTGCCTTGGCTTCCACCCATACATTATGTATCAGACAGTGCGTGTGCTAGCTAGCTTGTTCCGCACACCCCTGTCAGGGGTGCTGGTAAAATTGGCGGCAGCAGCGCCAAAGTCTTCTTACAGTTTGCAACAACTCGATGCCCTGAGATCGCTGCACTCCTAGATTGTAACGGCTCGGTCCAAGCTGACTTGTCGCTGCCAGTCGACTTCTGGTGAAACGAAGTCCGGCGATCCCCAGGCCACAACCGGCCCGTCACAGATAGCCATGAAGCCATGGCTACAGGCGAGCAAGTGCTGAACCTGAGAGCATTTCGTACCGTTGCCACTATCGCAATGCTTGTAGACGTCCCAGTCGCCCCATGTCACGACGGAGCTATCGCTCCGCAGGGCAGCAAAGCCATGGTGCGCAGCCTGGACCTCGACGACATCCTGGAGCTGGTCTTGCACATCGCTGCTGTCACCACCGTAGTCAGGGTCGCCCCAGGTTACGACCGACCCATCCTGGCATAAAGCGGCAAAAGCACGGCAGGAGCTGTGCAGCTCCTTGACATGTTGCAAAGCCTCTTCTACTGAGCTGCAGTCGCCACCACGGTCGGGATCACCCCAAGTTACCACAGAGCCACCGTGCAAAATAGCCGCACATGCATAGGGCCCGGCCTTCAAACACTGGACATCTCTCAGCCCTTCCACAGCCTCGCCGCCGTAGTCGGGATCTCCCCAAGCGACAATACCCTGTTTCGACGTTAATGCCGCAAAAGCAAAGCCCGTGGCCTCCACCTGCTCTACACTAGTCAGCCTGTCTCGCACATGCTTGCTGTTGCCACCGCGATCTGCATCACCCCAGGTCACCACAGACCCGCAATCTCGCACTGCTGCGAAAGCATACAAAGTAGCAAAAATCTGATGCACACCGACCAGTTCATCTTCAGCAAGCTTGCTGCTGCGTACGACTTCAACGTCACCCCAGCAAACAACAGAGCCTGAGCCCAGCAATGCAGCGAAAGCGCTCATGGATGGAACGATCTGGCGCACATCCTGCAACCTGGACCGGACACGATCGCTGTCGCCACCATAGTTCCGATGCCCCCAAGTCACGACCGAGCCATCCTCACGCAAAGCCGCGAAAGCGCACAGCGTGGA